ACAAACAAAAAACCCCCCAAACATTAGTGACTTCAGATTAACAGGCTGTCCGCGGCCAAAAACATTCCTATGAGATGACTTGTTACTGTGCTTGAAGGAGAAGCTGGAATTCTACGTACAGGCGTGAAGTCTATTGGGAAGTAGCAGGACGTGACTTCAAAGAGTTCCTCTGTAAACTGATCTAAAGAAGAAAAAAAAAAAAAAGAAAAAAGAATGAGTCAGTGACATCTGCTTAGCGACTGATGTTAACTAGTGAAAGACAAAGCCTTCGTGGGGCATATCTTCATCTTATCGGAACCGAGATTCCAGACTAAACATTTGTATTACAATCAGAGACTATTAGACTACGCATGAATAAGTGGGTGTGTGTGTCTCCAAGTCTGTACTCACTGAGGTCATAACCTCTGTGGATGATGTTTCTGGCGATCTGGAAGGCCAGCAGTAGGTTGCGAGGATCTCTTTCTCCATCTACAGCCTGCACAAATCCATACACAAAGTCTGGACCCAAACCCTTCAGCTCTGCAGAATTCGGAAAAGAGACAAAATTACACTTGGTGTGAAAATCAATAGCCAAAGCATGCGAGAGCGCTTGTCAGAGCAGTATGGATCAATATCCACGAATAACAACCTGAGAAAACATTAAAGCAGCCCAAACATTAGTGGTCACCGGCTCAAAATGGCCGAATTTCAATGTCCACTTGATCTGGCTATCGTTCCAGTCAAGATCCTCAACCCCTAGATTTAGTGTTGCACAAAACAAACTGCACACTATATGTATACAAATAGATACATTTCACATAGTTTACGATCACAAAGAGATTACTTTTATCAAAGTTTTCAATATTACCCAGATACTCGAGTCGTTCCTTTATACCTGAATGTCACTCTATATACCAATCCCGAACTTTTGGACCTTTAGAACTTCAACGAAAATGTACAAAGACAAGGTAAATGAATAAAATTAGTAATAATAATACAATTGGAGAACAACACACTAAATAGCTCCTTTATAACCTCAAAACGTTTGCAACAGACTGCTGGTGTACTACTGTGCGGAACAAATGATATTTAAGGATTAAAACACTTGGGGTCGAGCTGTAATATTTTATATGTATATATGTATATATATATATATATATATATATATATATATATATATATATATATATATATATATATATATATATATACATATATATTAAAAACAGACAGACAGACAGACAGACAGACAGACAGACAGATAGATAGATAGATAGATAGATAGATAGATAGATAGATAGATAGATAGATAGATAGATAGATAGATAGATTCATAATAATAATCAAAGATGGGGTGGTGTGATGTGGCCTGAACAAGAATTAGGGTTGCTGTTAGACTAAAAGTTAATTATTTCACTCGAACACTACAGAAATTTACCAATGATTAGTTCTAGTATATTTTTTCACTTAAAAACACACCACATTATAGTTTCTGACATTTATAACTGTTAACTGTCTGTGAAACGGTCCATTATCTGGTGTTTTACAGCAGCTATTAAACGTGTCTTTAAATTAATAAGGCAAAACATTTCACCAGCACTTTGATACAGGAAATAATATTGAAGAAAATATACAGCCACGTCACGTCATATCATCTACTCACGACGTTATGAAGTTAATAACAGCGTCGGGTTAAACATTGCCCCGCGTCATAACGCCACGAATGCAACCTCGCTGAAAAACACCAGCTTCCTTACCCTTTTCTCTGGAGTCCATGAGGCTGATGAGTATGTTGTAGACACATGCGCGCTCGGTCAACATCATGGACTGTCGAAATGAACAACACACAACATCGAGAAGACGTTAGCAAACGAGCCGCTCAGTGCGTCGTGCAAAACTCCATGTGCGTTTGATGCAGCTTTTTCAGAATGAATACGACTAAAGCACTTTAATACAGAGAGAATTTGATCCGTGCGTGGTGTTAATTTCCCCGCCAAGGGGCCCCCCCAGGGGGTTCCCTCCAGACACCGCCCGCCCCCCACACCCCCCCCCCGGCCCGCGCCTCCTTCCTCCTCCTGGTTGTTCTTTCCGCTTTCCCCTGGCCCCGGGTCTCCCTTGAAGATTGAGATCGTTTACACTTATACATATACAAATGAAACCAGTCACAATCCAGGCACGTTTTGGAGGCATCCTTTGCTCAAGGACCTAAATGTAAACAGTCCTGACATCCGAACTTCTAACATTCCTGTCACTAATTCAGAACTTCATAATTAGCTCAGGCTTACCAGAGCGGTGAGTCCGTGGAGAACGTGCGGCGTGAGCGCATAGTGATCTTTCAGCCGGTTCTCGTAGAACGTTACCAGGACCTTCACTGCAAAAGAGGGTTCAGAAATTAATTACAAAGCTCGCCACTTCTTCGCTACGCAATGAATCGTTTACTGTATCCATTTCATAATCTACGTACTGTATATTCCGAGCTTCAAAAATCAAACCTAATATTCATATTGTGACAAGCTCCAAATGAGGTATAAATACACAGCCGGGTCCATCAGTATGTGCACAGTGACGCGATTTTCTCCATTTTGTCTCTGCACACCACCACAACGGAAACGAGGAAAGAAGCTCATCAGTTCATTGTCCAATTACTTTTAAGCCTGTGCAAATGGCTGGAATTCCTAAACGGTCCTAAATGCTATACTTTCGGTAAACCCCTTGAATTAAAGATGAGAGTCTACACTTCAATCACATCTTGATTGCTTCATTTCAAATCCATTGTTCTGGTGTACAGAAGCAGAATTACCGAAATGTAACACTGTCCAAATACTTCTGGACATGGATGTTATATGTACCTGGATATGAGGCAAAACCAAAGTGAGGCATGTCTTGAGTGTTTCTATACCACAGCAATTTGACAATCTTTTTTATTACCCTGCCACGTTACACTTTCCTTTTTTTAACCCATTTATAAGTTATATTAAACCTCAGAACACACTGGGAACGGATACCCGCTCACAACACTTTTTTTTCAGGCTCGGCATTTGGTCAGTATCGCTGGAGCAGGATGTAGGGTGTGTGATTTTGTTTACCTTCACTCTCTGAAAGGCCGCTGTAGCATGTCTGCAGGACTTGAGAGAGGAGCTGCACCCCTCGGCTGCGTGTCGGAGTCTGAGAGCTTGTTAAACTTGACCTAAGCGGCAACAAAAACAGCCGGTCAGACTACATGCCTTCAATTAGACGCAGAAAATGTCTCCTGTTATGATATTAACCCACATTTTCATGGTCATTCATGTGCGGTTTAATCTGAAGCTGCTCCAGGGTTTGCGTACAGAGCAGCGTGTCCTGTGTGGTTCACCGTTGTGTCTAATATACTTACAGTTTGCTTGTTGTACTGAAACTGAAGTGCTGCACTCTGCCCTTATTTTATTCTACCTGCACTTTCTCTGGTCATCATGTCTGTACCCTCTACAATGCACTTTATGTACCTTATAAACCGTATATAGTGCGTATAAAAAGTCTACACACCCCAAGGGTTTCATGCTGGAAAATCAAATGAAACCAAGATAAAATCATGAGATATTTTCCCACTCAAATAAAATGCATGTAAAAACAAAACAAAACAAAAAATGACAAAACTGGTTGCACGAGTGTGCACATCCTTTTATTATAGGGCATGTGACACGCTCAGAATTAACCACGTTCATCCTATTGAAACTCGTGTTCAAAAGTAATCATCATGCTTCAATGAAGCGTTTCTGATGGACCCCAAATAAAGATCGGCCGATTCTGTAGGATTTTCTTCACATCATCTTGGTTTCATCCCACTGCTGACGCCAGGGTCGGCAAAAAGCTTACAAAGCACGTGCTGTATCTCACTTGTTGAAAAGTATCGATCCGGAGAGGGGAACAAAAGAACTTTCAAAACATTAGATGTCCCATGGAACACCTTGAAGGCCATCAACAAGTGGAGAAAATTGAGCAATGCAGTGACGGCACCGAGAACAGGACGTCCCTCCAAAACTGACAAAAAGAAAACTTATTCTTGTCCAGGGAGGCTGTCAAGAGACCTACAGCAGCATTAAAGGATCTGCAGGAATATCTGGCAAGGTCAATTCCATGCAACAACAATGTCTCATTCTTCACGTCTGGGCTATGGGGTAATTAATGGTGGCTAGATGGAAGCTCTTTCTCACAGAGGGAGAGAGAGAGAGAGAGAGAGAGAGAGAGAGAGAGGAAGAAAAAAAAAACATCCAACCCTGCCTAAATCACCCCAAACCATATAGCAAAATGTGTTATGGGCTGATGAGTCCTAGGTAGAACATTTTGGGCATATTTCAAAAAAAAAAACCCCAAAACAAGACAGTTTATCACCCAAAGAACACCATACCCACAGTGAAGCATGATGGTGGCAGCATTGTGCTACGTGGCTCATCACCTCACAATTTGATAGAGCTGGAGAATTTCTGTCAGGAAGAGTGGAACTGTCGAATCAAGATGTGCAAGAAGATTCTTACTCAAAAAGACTGATTAATAGAAGCAAAGGGTGCTTTAAAAAAAGTATTAGTTACGGAGCGTGAACATTTATGCAACTAGGTTATTTGTAAAAATGTTTCCATTTGTTTTCCACTTGGATGTTGTTAGTCGAAGTATTACACTAAAAGGTTTTCTTTTCTTTTTTCTAACCTCACAAAACCCCCACAATATTAACAGGGTTGTGTAAACTTTTTATTTCTACGGTAAGGCTTGACAGTTCATCCCATTATACATCAGGGTTCCCATGCACCCGTAACTGCAGTCCAGCACAGTTTTGTGATTTTCATGTTCCTCCATCCATCTTCAACTGCTTACTCCTTCTTCAGGGTCGCGGGGGAACCTGGAGCCTATCCCAAGGAGCATCGGGCACGAGGCGGGGTACACCCTGGACAGGGTGCCAGTCCATCGCAGGGCACAATCACACACACACACTCACCCATTCATACACTATGGACACTTTGGACATGCGACTCCGCCTACCATGCATGTCTTAGCCACGGTTGGATTTGAACCCATGGCCTTGGAGGTGTGAGGCGAACGTGCTGACCACTAAACTAAGTCACCATGCGCCCGATGTTCCTCATCCGCCTCATGGAAAATCAACATACTGTTCTGGACTCAGCTCCTCCATCTTGTACATGTATGATTTTCATAAAAATGGACTAAAGCGGTTTCATTTCAGCACCTTTTAAGATTATGACTTGTCGTGCAGGACGAGATGGTCCCGGTAACATGCTAGCTGAATTGAATAGGAGACTGCGCAATAACCTGTCCGCCAAGTCAGATAATACGATGAAGATCTTCTAGCAACATGTTCTAACTGTGATTGGTGCTTACATTTGCAATGAAAATGATTCGACCCCCAATACAAATCAGGTTTATTGGCAAAATGTACAGACTTTCAGCTGTTTGCAATGAACAGATCAAACCAAAGCACTGAAACAGTTCAATGCTTCAAGTGGTTTCCCCAAAATCAACTGAATAGGTTTATAATGATTTCTCCAGTCTCAAAATGACTCAACCCCTTCATGGCAAGCATCTTTAGCACTTAGTAGAGCACCCTTTTGCTGTTATGACCTGCTGCAGCGTTCCTCAGGAGTCTTAGCCCATTCCTCATGAGCAATGGCCTCCAGTTCGGTAATATTCTTGGGTTTGAACTCTTTCGATTGCTCAGGTTTGGTTTGTTGATTGCAAAAAGCTGAAAGTCTGTACGTTGAGGCAATGAGCTTGATTTGCAACGGGGGTTGAATCATTTTGTCTGCAACTGTACATAATCAATCAAGAGCGATCTGGGTGTGCGCAGAAACCGGGATCGAGTAAACAGAAACGAGGCCTGGGTATATAACCTCGGTCATGACAGAGCTTGAAGACCTGCTCTGCGATTCAACAAAGCCACGCTTCTTTTAACCTCACGTTTTGTTTACGTTTCGCCGTGGCCGCTGTGCTGTCACCGCCGTCCCATCGGTGGCTTGTAGTTGAGTGTTGTCCCATTCGGAGATCTTAATCAAAACGTAACAGAACTTTTCCTTCCACCTTTGGGGGTTGTCAGGGCTGTTAATTCTAAGACCGCAAATGTCAACTCACGAGTAACACAGGGCAGAAAGTCGTACAGCGTAAACTCGGCTTGTGGTGACCCCACAGCGCACAGCTTCGCACCGCTATTTTCATCCAAGTTGCTGCCGTGTGTGTGTGCGTGTGTGTGTGTGATCTTGTATAATACATTACCCTAGTGCGTCCACCAGCTGAAGTATGGAGAACTGTCCAGCCTTGACACCTTCAAGAAAGATGAAGACAAAGTGTACGTGAGTGAACATACAGTCCATTAGAAACAGTGTATGGATTTTGGATCTCTTGTCCTGGATAGCGTTCGCTCTCTAGGGTCCATGGGAACACTTAGAGCCCTCCAGAGGCTTTGGAATCATCTCTACCTTCTCCACGGTGCTGCATCCCTGATGTACAAAGTCAGTAAAGATGTTTACAACTACCCTCATTTACATGGATGGATTCGGCCCAATGTCTCAATGCATGTCCACTTAAAAGCCTTCCACATGCCACTGTTCACTTCATGACAATTCATGCTTAGCTCTAACCAAGTGGAAACCAAGCAGATTCTTCTCACTCTGCAGACAGGATGTGGTGAGACGGCTTCATCATTCTACTCACGCTCCCCAGACGTTCCCCTCCTCACCCGTATTCCGGCAATCCCGCCTCGTCTGCTGTGATTGGCCAGCTGTTCAGAAGAACAAGCAGCCCACCAATTAAACAGCAAGAATTCCTCACGTGTGAATTTTCTAGCCAATCACCGGGCAGGGGCGGGATTAGTCGGAATACGTGTGGATTAAACAATGTCGGTTTAGTCGTAAATTACGTAGCGCACACTTGTAGATTTTCTGTTCGTTCATAACAACAGTATTCGCGGGTCAGAGACGTATCACATACCTGTCGCGATATCTGCAGCCGGACTGTCAGCTTTTCCCGAGACAAATTCCTCCACCAGACCTAACAGCTCATTACTGTCGGTAGCCATCGCGAAGCGCGTCCAACGTCTCCCAGGCGCATGCGCAGACGGTAAATTCCCTGATCATTACAGACGATTATAACAACAACAAAATTACACTTAAAGTTCTTGGTCTTATATATATATATATATATTTTTTTTTTCCACTTTCGACTTTCAGTAATTTATTTAAATATGAAAAAGAAAACAAAAACGAGATACGGAAACGTCCAATCACTGACGGCTTCCGTGTGACGTCGGAGTCGACCAACGGAACACGCGCGTGCGCACGAGAGTGCTACAGGACAGCTGAACCTGGCTGAACCAGCGCGATTAAGGGGATTCGGAGAAGAACTAGAATTCGAACCCCGGCCTGTGTCGGGTCTTCCCGCGCGTCCATGACACCGAGTCGGAGTCTGGCAACGCAGTGAAGGCGAGTTCCGCGTGGAGAGTGGAGCGTCGACACGGGGCAGGTTGAGCTAAAGCGAGCTTGTTCTCCATCCAGAAATAACTCGCCTCTGTTCTCGCGCGCACGAGTGGAGTGGAGTACTGCTTTACCCCGCTGTCTTTATCCACTATATACACACACACACACACACACACACACACACACACACACACACACACACACACACACACACTCACTGCGTGGTCGTGTTGAGCATTCTCCTCACTGGTTCGGTTTGTTTATTAGTTAGTGGAGCTAACGGTTTAAACCCGAGCCGTGTTGCGCGAGGCAGTCTGGGAAATTTAACTTCGACGAAAAATATTTCAGTTCCAAGGCAGGACCGGTTCAGTGAGTTTACACCCGAATTCGCCCCAGCAGCGCTGACCGCTGTGTCAAGTCCCGGCGCGCCTGCTCTGGAGGACGAGGACAAGTCCTCGGGGTCTGACACCTGCACTCCACACCGCTGAAGATATCTAAGCGGGTTTAAAGTTGTGATCAGAGGGCGATGTGGATGCGGTCCTACTGAGCACCATGGGAGGATGTGTGGGGAGAGAGCGCCCCGAGTCTCAGGGCTCGTCTCGCCGAGGAAGGGGCCAGAGAAAGCGCGGAGGTAAGAGTCGTGCGGCTTCGTTATTAAAGGTGCAGTAAGTGATTGTTGTTGTACAGATAACCTGGAAGATCAGTGCTGCAGGATCAAACAACAGCGGAGTGAGTCATTGGGTTAGAAAATGTCTATTAAGCCGGCGAGAATACCCATTTTAAAAAGGTGCTTCTGCCCGGAGTCTGTGTTTGTGTTTGGTTTGTAGTGATGTGTCGTTCATTTTGAGCGACTCTTTAATGTGACTCGGGAACAACGAGTCACCTCAGAGAGTGATTCGTTCATTTTGAACAACTCTTTAATGTGACTCCAACGAGTCACCTGAGAGAGTGATTCGTTCATTTTGAACGACTCTTTAATGTGACTCGGGAACAACTGAGTCATCTCAGAGAGTGATTCGTTCATTTTGAACGACTCTTTAATGTGACTCCAACGAGTCACCTGAGAGAGTTATTTGTTCATTTGAGCGACTCTTTAATGTGACTCGGGAACAACGAGTCACCTCAGAGAGTGATTCGTTCATTTTGAACGACTCTTTTTAAGGTGACTCGGGAACAACTGAGTCACTTCAGAGAGTTATTTGCTAATTTGAGCGACTCTTTCATGTGATTCGTTCATTTTTGACCGCGCATGCGCTGTAACATCCCCATAGGTTCTGTACAGGAAACAGAAATGATTAGTTCTGGTCTTGAGTCTTCGGGTTCGAGTCGTTCATTCATCACCATGGGTTGCATGCACTGGGGCTGTGACGTCATGAACGAACGACTCGAGGCGTAAACCGATCATTTCTGTTTCCGGGGAACAGACGTGACGAAAGAGAACGACTCGGATCGGGAGGTGAGGTGAACGAACAGACTGCGTAGCCTGAAGACCGAATGCTCAGCTATTAATGAATCACTTCTGTTTCTCATAATTCGGCCTCGGCTGCATTAGCCTCTAGTTTATTCCTTATTCCAAATGTGATCGTTTGTGTAAGTATTAGACGTGTTGGGGAAGTTAACATGTAACGTTTTAATTACATTCTTTTGAAATGAACGAAATGACCTGGGGGGAAGATTCGTTCATTTTGCTGAACCAGATTCAAAGATCCGAGCTTCCCATCGCTATTTGGTTGCACTCTCTGTAGCTGCGTCCCAATTCGTCCTAAATAGTGCCCGAGGTTAGAATTTGCGTGTCCCAAATCGTAGTGGGTTGAAACGAGTATCCCGAAGGTATCCCGACTGGTCCTCTGTTTCTGGTTGATTTTCCGTGTGTGCATCCGTGGACACTTTTCCAGCTGATATCGTCCACGACGCTCTGTGATGGAGTTTTGTGACTGTTTGCTCCACTGAATTTAATCTGCAAAGATGGTGGACGAGCATAACGAGACTGTGGCGCGTCTAAGAGTTTAAGTACTAAATCTAAATAAATAAATCAGTTATATTATGACGTCAGCGCGTTAATATGTACCAGTACATACAGTGGTGTGAAAAAGTGTTTGCCCCCTTCCTCATTTCCTGTTCCTTTGCATGTTTGTCACACTTAAGTGTTTCGGAACATCAAACCAATTTAAACAATAGTCAAGGACAACACAAGTAAACACAAAATGCAATTTGTAAATGAAGGTGTTGTGTAAATGGCCCTGTGTGAAAAAGTGATTGCCCCCCTTGTTAAAACATACTATAACTGTGGTTGTCCACACCTGAGTTCAATTTCTCTAGCCACACCCAGGCCTGATTATTGCCACACCTGTTCACAATCAAGGCATCACTTAAATAGGAGCTGCTTGACACAATAAGGTCCACCAGAAGATCCTTAAATTCTACACATCATGCCAAAACCCAAAGAAATTCAGGAACAATTGAGAAAGAAAGTAATTGAGATCTATCAGTCTGGAAAGGGTTATAAAGCCATTTCCAAAGCTTTGGGAATCCAGCGAACCACAGTGAGAGCCATTATACACAAATGGCGAAGACATGGAACAGTGGTGAACCTTCCCAGGAGTGGCCGGCCGCCCAAAATTACCCCAAGAGCGCAGCGAC